CGGCCCCGTCGCCTGGAGCGGGAGGGGGTAGTTATGCCTGTGTGGTTTTTATTTTCATGAAGTTTAAAATATTTTTGTCGTCATCATAATAAGTATGCCTTAGCGGGTCGGATGCGTAAATTGTTGCTGAAGCTGTAGAAACAGGAGCTGTTGGACATAATGAGAGAAAGCTTTTAGTATTGCTCTTCCTCACCTAGGGTAGATTTTAAAATATCATTTAGCTTCAGGAAACCTAAGATACAAAGGAAGTTGCAGTAGCAGTTCCTAATTTTAATATTTTTGTTATCTCCTAAGTCTTAACAAATCTGAGTGAAACATGATGAGAAAACGGTACATGTTGGCCTGCAGAAAAGGTGCTTTTAATTCTGTAGCTTTTTATTTAGAAATATTTTTAACGAGGCTGAATATTTAAATAAATAGCGTGGCATCTGCTCTCAGTGTGCACAGTATGTCATTTTCTTAACATTTTTTGTCCTTTCTGTTGGCAACATAATTCACCAGTAAAAATCTCTGCTGGGGCTTGTGGGACCTCTTCGTAAGAGAATTTGGGTTGTCAGAGCAGGCCTAGCTGATGAGCTGTGAAGATACAGTCCTCTGAGGTGGCTGGGGCTTTCTCTGCCTGGCTTGGCTAAGCTGTGGGAACTTGCACATCGTTTGTGTCCCCAGTCAGTGTACTGGATGCCTCTAGACAGAAAGTTGGGGAACTTTCCCCCACTTTAGTGTATGAGGGGAGTGCAGGAGATTTTGCGATTAAGATTCAGTAAGCCAGTAATTCAATGAAAGAGCAGTTTAAGGAAGAGTGTGGTTCAAGATGTGGGTGTCTTTAGATAGTTAACAAACGGATCAGTCTTTATAGTCTTGTGTCTTTCAGGACTGTGGTTTCAAAATGAAATTTAATTCCCTCAAATATATTGGTGCTTATAGCTCTGTAGAGTAAAAGTCACCCCAGGGCAGGCTGTTGACTGGCAAATGACCATCACAAGGCTCCTGGACTTTTTTAGTCTCACAGTGGCTGCTAACCATGGTGAAAGCCTTGGTTGCTGCTGAAGACTACACTGTTTAATAGAACCTGTACTGTGGTGACTATAAGAGCTCACCTGATGCTTAAGTTTAACTTAAAATATTTTGAAAAAAACCCAAACTTTCCATCTCAGTCACTTCTTCCTCTGGTTTAGTTTAAACAAACCTGAATGGCTTAAAACTAAAATCTTGTTGCACACCGACTTACTTCAATATTTTTATTGGAGGAGAAGAACTGTACATGCAAAAACGAAATTTTACTTCATGTTTTGACAATAGGTAAAGTAAATGATGTCAATGTTATGCAAAAAATATTTTTATTTTTCTACTTGACAGGATAATGACCATAAAACCCTCTAAATGTATGTCATTTCAAGGTAATAATATGGTGGGAGATTGTAGCTCTGAAATTTCACTAACCAGCTGAAGCCTTGCTCATTTGCCAGAGTTGCTTTCATAGATATATACATTGCAATTGAGTGTTGTGATTCAAGCACTGATACAGGTATCTGTGCCTCACAGCTAGGCAGGGCTCTGATGACAGTGAATGTACTGCTTGCAGGTTTCAGCAGGTTCTGGGAAACCTTGGGGTGCTAGTTGGGACTTGAAGAAGAATGGTCTGGCAGAAACAGTTCAGTGTTTTCAGGACTTGCAGAATCCTGCACTTGGAACAGATTGATGTCATGTAATGGCACAGGCCTGGCTGCTGGTCAGTTGTAGACAAGGCCACAGAAAGAAAGGACCTAGGGTCCTATGCCAGCTGAGTCCAAGTCACTTGCACACCCTTCCAAGGAGAAGGGGCAGCCCCATATTGGGCTGTAGTGTAGTCAGTAGGCTGAGGAGAGTGATTATTACCTCTTCAGCACTTTCAAGGCTGCATCTGGATTACTGTGTCCAGTTTTCAGCTCCCAAGAAGGAAAATAATAACAACACAATTGAGGGAGTCCCTCTTACTCTACTATACAAGCTGAAGCAGAAGATGCACAAGAAGAAGCTGACAGAACTGGGGTTTTATTGTTGTTTGCAACTACCTAAAAGAAAGGTACGTAGGAGACAAACTCTCATCAGAGGTGCATGGTAAGATGAGGGAGCAGATACAGGTGACAACAGATATTAGGAAGATTTTTCCACTACAATAATCAAGCCATGGAACAAGGGCTCAGTGGGATGGGAGTATCCATCCCTGGACCTACTCTGAAGTTGACTGGACAGGGCCCTGGGCTGCCTGACCTAAGTCAGTCCTGTTTTGAGCAGGTGTTTGAACCAGATAACCTGTAGAGGTCCCTTCTTGTAATTTCGGTGTAGTTTCATGGGCTAAGCAAGAAAAGATTATTGCTTCAATCTCACCATTATCTTTTCCTTGTCCTCTAGTAGAGTGCCACGTGCCATTCAACATCTTTGGAGATCAGATTTTCAGCTAGCAGGAAGAGACAAGTATCTCTGTGGGTTTAGTGGAGGCTTTTCAGTGATACACAGTGTCTGATCTGAAACACCAAAATGATGTTAGTAGCTTGAATAGAAACTCCAGCAAGAGGCATTTGGAAAAGGACACAGGTCTCCAAATGGTGGAATTGACATTCTGAAAAGTACTTAATATTCAAACTGTACCTGTCTAGTTTACATCAACCTGAAACTCTTCATGACTTGAAGGAAAAGAAATAAAATACCCTGACAAAAAGCACGTATTGTTTCAATTTGGAAAAGAATGAGCTAAGTTACAATAGCACTGGCAGTAGTGACTGTCTGCTTCCTGTATTAATAGTTGTGTTGGCTTTCACAGAGCTGCTTAAACAGAAAAGGTTTAATGTTGTTCAGGTTGGAAAATTAGTTCATACAGCTGCTTCGTGAATGTGGACTGATCAAAGTAGTATAAATTCTGTTTTAATGCTTGTTTCTGTGTTCTCATTTGCAGACTGCTGCAAGTAAGGAGAGAACGTCTAGTCACGATTTCATTGTTGGGCATGTTTACAGGGGTGTGGAGACATTGGGAAAGGAACTTTTTATGTACTTTGATCAGAAAGCTCTGAGGTAAGGGGTGAGGAAAAGGCCTCCTGTGCATATATTTGGGGGATCGTCTGCTTCTTGTTGTTGTCAATCTCAGAGATTTGAAAGTTAGTTTTATGGAGGAACTTTGTGGCAGCCTCTCTGGAGTGCTGGTAATACTGGATGCTGTCACATTTTTCACCTAATTTATTGCTTTATTCTTAGTTTAAGATTCCATGTAAGGGTACCTAAGAAAGATAACTGTCCTTGAAATGCTTGTTTTTGAACAGGAAATTGCATTTTCTAGAGACAAAACTCATGAAATTCATGCAGTTACGTTTACCTAATGACTTCCACTACAAAGTGCACTTGGCAATTTCTTTTAGCTTTCTTTAAGAAATTAAGATTTAAATTTTGTACTTAACTTTTAATGAATCAGTTGCTCTGATAATAAATTCATGTGGAAAAAATTGCCAAACTTGAAATATTCTGTGAGTATACGTTTTTGCTGCCTTCCCTTCTTTAAGCAGCATCAACAGCTCCTTTGTGTGAAGGTATGGTTTGAAATTTGGCAGGTGAGTGATCTGGGTATCATAAATGTAATTCTTTCTAGTGAAACCATGTCTTCTAGAGAAATGGTTTCACTAGAATGCCAAATCATTGTTTCTTCATGCTTTGCAGAGCTTATTAGGGGTTTGTTGGCATGTTTGAGATTTTGTGATATGCTTTAACCGTGTGGACATCTACTAGCCACCAAGGTTGTATTTGGAATCTAGTGTACTTTCCAATTCAACATGCTCCTGTACTAGAAAGTCAACTAAAAATAAATCTAACCAAATGCATAGTGTAATGGATTATTAAAAAATTCACTCTTTGTTCTTTATGGTAGTTAGCACAGAATAGGTAAGTAAGACCCCTTATTTTTAATAGATCAGGCTTACATTAATGCTTTTCTTTTACCCTTCTACTTGCAACATAAGTCTAATCTCTCTAAACGTTTAGAAGGGAAAACAACATCACTTTACATTCAGTGTCATCTTTGTCTCCTAGTGACTGATCTTGAAGAGAGGTATAAGGTCATGATTTTTGTTAATTTAGGACTGATAATATCAAATACTTTACAATTCTGTGACATAATATTTTGCCAGTGGCACTGCTGTTGTAGGAGAGACTGGAACAGAAAATGCTTGGCTCTGAGTACAAGAGTTTACAGTGGTGCATGCTGGATAAATAAAAGGCAGTCGTATATTAGCAATTACCTGGGATGATCTGCAGACTAATTCTTGGTAGCAAGAGCCTAGTGGTTATCTGACATATTGTGATGTGCTTGTTTCTCCTGGTGTCAGAGAAATGCAGCTGGTCTTATAAGCACATACTAGTCTTTACATGAAAATCATACAAGTCAATAATAGGTTAGGACTGCATATGTGTTTAAAACTACCTGTATTAGTGATGGATAGGATTATAGTCCTAGTCACCTTTTCTTGCTTTGTATTGTGCTTTATTAATAGAAATGGAAAAGAAAGAGCAGTTTTTAAAAAGAAAAACATAAATCAGTCATAAAGAAAGATAAAAAAGGCAAGGGAGGTAACTGATACAGATATTTGCCTTTTTGAAATGGCTACTGTGTGTACTGTAAATTGATTGGCTGAGCAAATGAGTAGATTATACAATAAGAAAATACTGTTTTAACAGACTAAATTACTCAATCAGAAGGAAAAAAACTATTACTAAGGCATGCAAGCAAGCATTTTGCCAAAATTCTCTTCAAAGAGAAAAAATGTGTGGCCAGGTTTTATTATGGAAAGTACAATCCTTTGACCCTGAAAGATCTTAAATAATTCTTGAGCTTTCTAGCCAATGCAATAACTTATTGTATGTAATGGAAACAACTCTCAGTTATTGTTTGATTATAAGCTTAAAATTTTCATCAATTCATCAGCCATAGTAACTCTAGAAACTGTATTTAAGAAGACATTTTAGGCATGTCACTGGTTTGATTTGAAATGTGGAAGAAGTTATGTACAGGAAAGGTCTCATCTACACACCGAGCAGATGTTACTCATTATCTGATTATCTAATGAGGATCTTCATTCTCTTCTTGTAAAAATGCATGTTCTGCATCTTAAAGATGTTGAGAGGAGGTAGAGGAAGGCTTCAGAAAATACATCTTACAGCAGTCTAAGTTTGGCTGCCAGGATTGTTACTGGGAGAAGAAACAAGCAATATGTCTTCAGAGGATTTGTTACTTCTTTATTAAAGTTGACTTTCAAATATAGGACTTTCTTGTCCCAAGGAGGGTGGCTGATACACAGATTCTGTATCTGTATGTTGTTTTTCAACATAACAAAAACAGCTTTTCTCATCTGCTAAGATTACCTGTAAAAAGCTGGTGGTCAGGCTGGAGAAATATTAGTTGGACGTGTCTTATAAAAGACTAGGCCATGAAGGGTAATTAACTGATTTTATGCTCCTGGATTTCCTCAAGTGCAGAATGACTGCCTGGTGGGAGAAGATAACCTGGCCATGAAATTGTTTTATACAGTTTGGCTACTGCTTGCCTGACTTGCAAATGAGGAGGGTACTTCTGAAGTGTTGCCATGTTGTGGATAGCAATTAGCAAATGAAGTTCAGTATATTTGCAGCCCATGGTGGGCAGTAGCAGCTTCCTTTTAGGAGTACAAGTGAGCAATGACACCTTCTGAAGAAATTAGTACTTGTACGTTTTGATGTCTGTTTAAACAAGGACATCAAAGTCACTGAAGAAAGTGAAGGTGTTTTTTTTTTTTAAATCTGAGAGTTTTTTAAATTTTGCAGTGAAAGTCAGTTTCACTGAAATGAAAAAAAACTTCTGATGTTTTTAAGTTGTGCAGAAGAGACTTGCATGGACTACATGCTGTGCTGTAGAAATGGTACAGTTATATGAGATAGTCCTGGATTTTCTGAAGTGTGCTATTAATATAAAATTGGAGTGATAAATGGTGTAGAAAAGTTTCTGAAAAATGCTAATGGACATATGTTTTTGCATAACTGAAAACAAAAATATTCTTAGGAAAGAGATAATTGTTCACTCCAAATCCCTTAAAGGAAAGACATTTATTGTCTTGACTGGAAATTACATTTTGGCCCTTAGAACTTGATAATATGAATTGTCTGGGTTTTTTAATCTCCATATAATAGTTTGTGCTGCTACTTATCTTTTATTTTTAGTGAGAATTTTTTTTAAAATAAAAGCAGATCCTTACAATACTGCATAGCACTCAATAATTCTAAACCCTCACCTTTGCTTTTTGTAGTTAAAATGAAATACTTTTTTTTTTTTTACTATTTTTTTTTTCTAGTTGTGAACTGACAGCTCACTAAGACAGCTAAGAGTTATGATTCCTTTTAAACATTATACTGAAGCTCGGCAAATGAAACAATCAGCTATTAATGAGAACGCTGTTTCTTTACAGAGAACTTTCTGGAAGCATTTAGGGCATTACCATTTGACAGTAAGATGCAAGAGTTTGGTTTAGAAAGAAATTTGACTCGTTAAGCCTGTGGAGGTAGTGTTCATGGCACTTGAAAACTGGCAATGGCTCATGAAATTAACAGTGGCTGAAATAATTGTATCACCAGAACTGACTTGTAAGAAGAGATTTTTGGAAAGGTGCAGTTTTTCAACAAATAAATAAATAAATGCTATGAGCAAGTTATATCAAGCATTGATGTTTAAGACCATGCACAATGAAATGTTGTCATAACCCATTTGCAAATAATGAAAATGGCTGTCCTTCCTGAAGTGTAGCAAAGAGGGGTTAAAGGAAGTATACACCTGATGTTGAATTTCTTTGGTCATTTGTGTAGTTTAATCTGTTAAGTCTTCTTTTAGCTGCAAAATAATCCATTTTTTTCTGATACACAGTATAAAAGTAGGACACACCTATTTTATTTTTAAGTACTTGCATGCACAGTGAATTTGTAATAAATAAAATGTATGAGACCATAGTCAAACTTTGCTCAAGTATACTAGCTCCTAGTAGAATAGATTATTAAAATGTATACTAGCTCCTAGTAGAATAGATTATTAAAATGTAAGACCTCTTAAAGCATTAATGATCTGTAAAAGGAATGATTGGAAGAGTCTGTTCCACTCCTTTACCATCTGTCCATTTCTCTTTTTATTTCTTGTATTAATTTTTAATTGACCTGCAGGTTTTGCCTTGGTTGTAGGCAAAGAAAAGTAGAAAAAAACATATGGCAGATGTTAATTACTTTGTTTATGGCATTGGAAGTAGCTTTGATATGGTAACACTGTTGGCATTATAGCAACTGAAGTCTTTCATACCAGGTGACTTCTGCCTGATTAAACAGAAAATTGTCTAGTAAAGTAGCCTCATTTCTTTCAGCCTCCCTGAGGACTCAAGAACCTATTCTGGAAAACCAGCATGTCAAGTGAAAAAATTCTGTCATAGAATCATAGAATGTCTGGGCTGGAAGGGACCTCCAAAGGTCATCAAGTCCAACCCCCCTGCAATAAGCAGGGACATATCCAACTAGATCAAGCTACTCAGAGCTTCATCCAGCCTGATCTTGAATGTCTCCAGGGATGGAGCCTCTCTGGGCAACCTATTCCAGGGATCTATCATGCTCATACTGAAGAACTTTTTCCTAACGTCTAACCTAAATCTCCCCTTTTCTAGCTTAAAGCCATCACCCCTTGTCCTGTCGCTACAAACCCTTGTGAATAGACCCTCCCCTGCATTCTTATAGGCCCCTTTCAGGTACTGGAAGATCACTATAAGGTCCTCCTGGAGCCTTCTCTTCTCCAGGCTGAACAATCCCTACTCCTTCAGCCTCTCCTCATAGGAGAGGTGCTCCAGCCCTCTGATCATTTTTGTGGCTCTCCTCTGGACACGTTCCAACAGCTCCACGTCCTTCTTGTGCTGGGGGCTCCAGAGCTGGACACAGGACTCCAGGTGAGGTCTCACCAGGGCAGAGTAGAACGGCAGGATCATCTCTCTTGATCTGCTGGCTACACTTAAAGTTTGGCAATTTTTTCTGCATGAGTTTATTATCAGAGCAACTGAATCATTAAAAGTTAAGTACAAAATTTAAATCTGAATTTCTTAAAGAAAGCTAAAAGAAATTGCAAGTAAGTAAGACTCTCTCGATGTAAGTGTGATACACCAGACAAATGTGTTACTTAATGATCAGATTTGACTTCTGTGCAATGAGTTATGAAGGCCACTGGAAAACTGCTCTGTGTTTGGGGTGGTTTTGACTTGGGGAGGGTTCTTCTCTGGGAATCGAGCACTATATGAGCAAGTAGTTTGGTGCCATGTAACTAGAATTAATGTACATAAATAATGTCTTGGTTAGGTAAGAATAGTTCATAACTTCAAAAAATAGGCTGGTGTAATGCTTGGGAACGTCGTTAAGATGAAACACCCCTGAGAACTGTCTCTCTCTTTGAGGATTCACTTCGGTATGAACGGATCCATGCGCATTAATCCTGATGGAGGCAAAGGCAGAAATAGACCACTTCCAGCTTTGGAGATACAGCTTACAGAGGATACTGTTTGTTTTTTTGAGGTGACGGTAGAGTATAGGTAAAGCAGAAACTAACCAAATTAAACACAACTTGGTTTATTTCTTTTTATAACATTCCTTATAATGAAAATCACACACAAATTGTTAAGTGCTTGAATGAAAGCCATCACGGACACCAAGAAACAGAACAAAACTTTCTAAACATATTTATTGGTATGGTAATTTTGTTGCTTTCATACTGGCTTACATAGACTCAAAGTAGTTCCGTGCCATAGTCTCATGAGGTAGTGTCAAGACTAGGAATGAAAATTTGGTTTAATTCCATACTCTAGATGTGAATGCTGAAGCCCGTTGTTACTTTAACTCCTTTAAGTGAGTGGAAATCTCACTTCCTTAACAAGGATAAGGACCTGTGATGATTACTAGTTTCAAACTTTTATGCTCCCAGGGTTGTGTTTTTCTTTTTTTTTTTTCTTTCTGGAAGAAAATAGGAATAATTGTTCTAATTTATATAAAGTGGGTGCTTTTGTCTGCCAGCATTGTACTTCTAACTGCTAGTAAAAATAACAGCTTGATTTTTAAAGCATTTGAGGCTCTTGGGGGAAAAGGAGCATGCAGTTTCAAGTAACATGCTTTTTTAATACTATAAAACAAAAGCTTATGTAAGCCTGAGACTTCTTGTACTGTATTTTCAAATGATTATGCTTACCCTAACAAAGTCAAGGTTTGAGGAAAGCAATCTGTAAGTGTCCTGTTAGAACTGCCGGACTGTGTAACCGTACTGTTAACTGTTTGATCATCAAAAATGTAATATTTCCATGTTGGAAGCAGTCTTAAAGCAAGCACTTGGCAATCATTTTTCAAATTAATGTGAACAAAATGAGAATAATTTCTTGTACGTTTGATCAGATGTATGTTCCATGCACATATTGGTGACCTGTTTTTGGGAGGGGTGCTTAAAATAATTTCTGTGCCTCTTCCTGTCACTGGTATTTTCATAGTTTCTGTTATCTGCATATAATGTTCTATAGTACTTTCATGTGTTGCTTCTAAAGTCATACTGCTATATTAGCATGTAATTAAAATGAAAATAAATCTTGATGTATTTACTCTTCCAGAAACGCAGCTGAGTGTGAGCAGAAAGTGCGAGCGATGGAAAGCTTGGATGTCTGTTCTCCAAAGTTTAGCTTCTCGAGAGCAGAAACTGTGGTTAAGCAGCAGAATACCCGTATGCTGTGTGATGTCTTACTGGATCAAACAGTATTACCTGGAGTGGGAAATATCATAAAAAATGAAGCACTGTTTGACAGTGGTCTTCATCCAGCTGTTAAGGTGGTTGAAATATTTTTAATGACACCAACGTATTAAGAATGTGAATGTATCTTTATGTGCATTTTGTCATCTTTTACTTTTATCATATGTCAATTCTTAAGTTATTCTAAGACACTAAATTAATGTTTTGTCATTATAACTGGAATGCCAGTTGTCCCCTTGAAACTTGTTGCTGCTCTCATGCTCCCTCATAGAGTGGATGTATTTTGTGGGGCTAAGCCTTCTCTCTCACAACTTGAAACCCCTTCTTAGTAGGGAATATATTTTACTTTAAAGTAATGACTGGGGCATCTTGTTGTGCTATTACTAAATTGTCAGCCTATAAATGAAGAGTGCACAGGTTTTCTTTGTTCACTTAGCCCCCAAAATAGTTTTTTAGACATAATGAAGAAGTTCTTCACTTTGAGGGTGGTGAAACACTGGAACAGGCTGCCCAGAGAAGTTGACTTAAAACTTTGACTTCTTAGCAAAAATGTGTTTGGTTGATACGTCTATGTAATTTTGATGCCTTTGGCTCAAGTGTTCTTCCTTCAGATCTCTCACAGGAAAGAGCCTCTGATGCTAGATGGATTGTATCCAAATCCATGAGGAAATTAAGAAGGAACTAAGTGTTGTTAACTCCACATGATTCTTGTCATTGGGAACTCTGAGGTCAATGTAGAGGAAAACAACTTAAATTTTTACCTCATATTTTGCACAGATGAGGCAAAGTGTACACACAGTACACATCCTGTGGCATTCCCACAGTGAGTTTGTGTAATCTCAGATGTGAAAATGTGCTGTTTTGCTGAGGAGGTATTCAAAGTGCCCCTGTGTTACAGGTCTTGCTGCTGTTGTCCCTTAGCATCATAACATTCTAAAACTTGTTCTTGTCTAACTTGACAGGTTTGCCAGCTGACAGATGAGCAAGTACGGCACTTGGTGAAAATGACACGTGATTTCACTTTGCTTTTTTATAAGGTATTGGCACATGTTTCTGAGATACCTCCAAAACTTTACTCTGGCATTTTAGCTGTGTGTGATAACCTGGTGAAAACAGTAAAAAGACAAAATAGGACAAGTGTTACCATGAATGGGAATAAGGGTTTGTGTGCTCTTTGCTAATTGCGAGTTGCCAAATGATGGAAAGGTGGGAGAGTCTAAACTTTGAGAGTGTGCACAGCTTGGCCCAGTTGCAGCAGAGGAGTTTGACAGGTGCTGCCTGAGGGCTGCTACAGTTTTGCTGTGCATGTGCTGTAATGTCACTCTGAACATGTCAGGATTGATGTAGGTTAAGCACACACTTACATGTAAGATAACATAAAGGTCACTCTTCAGACTGGGAGCTAGAGGTTGCCCCAGGGAAGTATGAAGGTAATTCATGTAGCTTCCTTTATGAAACTTGAAATAGCAAGTATATTTATTTGACAAAATAGATTCTAAGGTAACAAGGGTTTGTTTGTTTTTTCTTTTTCTAACTGAAACACCCTTTTATTGGTAGCAAAAGTGAAATAAATTCCAGCTTCTCCCTACTGCCACATCTTCAGTAGGATTTAATTTCCTCTCCTCTAAACTTATAATTTCTGGTTACTCTTTAACTTTCCAAAACAGAGAGGATTTCACCTAATTCTTGCATGTTTTTCTTTGAGCTGCACGCAGAGGAATGAACATCAGCAGTAATATTCTGGTCTGTTTCTCTTGGGATTCACTAAAGGCAAAGAGCTAGTGCTCCTATTTTTTTAATTTTTTTTTTTGGGTAGGCTAGGAGAAGTGCACCTCACTTTCCTAATAACGTCTTTCAATCATAAAGGCTAAAAATGTAATATGTTTATAATAGTCTGCTTAAATGCCTCCTTTCCCCCAGCCCACTGAAGAGTAGTTTAGTCTGTAGGCTAGAGAAATCTTTTCATTCTCCAAACTTTGTTGTGAGGTCTGCCAGTAAAGAGATAGACAGCATCCAGTTCTGCAGCAGCTGCCATACTAGGAGATTTAAACGTGTGACAGGCTTTTAGACTGACAATAAACAAAAAAAAGAGAAACTTTCTGTAGCTCAGTTTAGGCATTTTCAAAAGTTTTATCATTTATATTTGGCAAGTATTCACTGGTCAAGTGCTTTTAAAGGTAAGCTAGTCCCCGCCCCACTCTCTAAGATAAAAACATAATAAAAATAGGTTAATAAGGGGGGGGTCATGATTGTTAATTTGTTACAGAATGTTGCAGAATGTTTGTAGTAATCATAGTATGTAATTTGCAACACTAGAGACGCAGAGGTGAGGAATCTTGTTTGTGTAAAAAGCTGCTGTTTTTGTTTTTCTTAAATAACTGGATGGGAGGAAACTACTAATAAGAAATTAACTGCAGACCTTGAGGAGAAAGCAAACTGCTTGTGAATATCCATGCCAATATCTATTAGTAATTCCTTCTGATTGAATTGCTAGGTTATACCAGCCAAAGCATTCTCATTCAGCAAGGCTGATGAATAAGAGCACAGCAGAAGCAAATATGCTGTGCTCAGACACCTGTATGTTGGGAGAGCTCCAAGGGTCTTCGTGCGTTATGGAGCTAGAGCTATTGAACCCTTCTAGAGCTGGGCTGGCATGGCTGGGCCAGCTGTGCTATTGTTTGATCTGTGCCCAAGGAGATGCCATTGTACTGCAGAAACTGGTAGGGCTCTGCCGAATTGGCTGCATCTCTGCAGGGCTTTTCTGGTTTGTTTTTCTGCCAGTTTTAGCTGGGGTATGTCTGTGCTGATCCATGTGAATTATCTCATGAAATGTGCGAGCTTCTCAGCCCTCTGGAGGCTCTTTACGTCACTGTGCCCCTTGGGCTTGTTCTGTACTTGATTTGACTTTCTGCCAGGATCTAGTGTGCTTGCCACAGAGCCAAGTGGCTTTTCATGAGCTGATTTGCGTGGCACAGCCAGAGCTAGGATGAAGCTGAGCAACTTTACTGGGCACTACCCGACTCCTACAGAATTTGTGGAATATTTCAACATTGCTCAGTTCTTTAGGTTTTGGGAAGACTGAGTAACCCAGATTAGTCAAGTCTGAGCTGCATCTGTGGTGTGGGTTCGGTTCTTTTTGGGGCGAAGGAAGGTAGTGTTGGTTTCATGGTTTATATTTGGTTTATTTTTTGTTTTCTGTGCCTCATTGATTTGAGCTCATCAGCTCTCTAGGAACACTTTTGCAGGTGCCAGGTCAAAGATGGCAGGTGGTGAATCAGAGGCAGCTGGTCCAGTTGAACTCGGGGGCTCCCTAGCATGCGTTTGCTTGCATCATGATAGTATGTCTTTTTTTTTTTGTCTTCTCTCTTCTGTTCCACTATGTGGAGAATTCCAGACACTGGCCAATGGCATCCTGGGGTGC